GGTCTCCCTAAGCAGCTCAGACTCAGTGATCCTCCTGTCTCACCGCTCCAGTGCTGGGGTTACAGGCGTGTGCCACCACACCTGGTTATGGTGGCCAGCTTGGCATGCGGTACTGGGGATCAAACCCGGGTCCTTGTGCTTGGCAGGCAGGCGCTTAGACCGCTAAGCTAGCTCCCTGGCCTCGGGATCTTGCTTCTTAATCCATTCTGCCAGTCTCTTTCTTTTATTTCTGTTGGGTTTTGTTTCTGTGCTGGAAATTGAGCTCATGACCTCGTACTTGCAAGGTAAGCATTGTGCCACTGAGCGAGTCTGTTTCTTTTGATTGGTGCATTGAGACCATTAACATTGATGATTATAACTTTATAACTGGTATGTTTTGGCTTATTCTTGTCCTGTTACTTTTGTGTTCTTGGCTCCCCTTTTTTCCCCTACTTTTTTTTTTTTCTTTCAGTGCTGGGGTCAAACTCGGGACCTTGCACCTGTCAGGCAGGTACTTATGCCCATGAACTATCTCCCTGGCCCCTCCCTCTGTTTGTTTGTCTTGCTTGGTGAATTCCTTCTGTTGGGATTCATGAAGTCATAATCCTTGTTATCTCTTTCTAGTTTGTCCTTCAAAACATTTTAGAGTGTTGGTTTGATATTCATAAATTTCCTCAGATGTTCTTTGTCATGAAAGTATCTTTTTTCTCCATCTGTTTTGAAAGGTAATTTTGTGGGTACATCAATCCTGTTTGAAGGTTGTTTTTCTTTAGGACTTGAAATACTTCGCTCCAAGCTGTCCTTTATTTGAGGATTTGTCCTCAGAAGTCAGCTGTGATTCTGATGAGCTTTCCTTTATAGGTGATTTGTTCCTTTTCCCTAACAGCTTTTAAGATTTTATTCTTGTGTTGGATTTCTGAAATCTTGGTTATGATGTGCCTGGCTGTAGATTTTTTGATTGTATCTAACCGGAATTCTATATGTCTCAGTTACTATGTGTCAAATTCTTTTTCCTACCAGGGAATTTTTCTGCCATGGTTTGTCTCTGCGAACAGTTTTTTGGTATCATTTGTGCTATCATCTGCTTTTCCATTGACTCCAGTCAATCTTACGTTATTCCAGGAGCTGCTCAGTTGATTTTTCATGGTCGTTTGCCATTTTTAAGAAATCTTTCATGATTGCTAAATGCAAGGCTATCTTCTCTATCTGCGAGCCTGTCCTCACATTGGCTTAATCTGCTGCCGACACTTTCAATGGGATTTTTATTCTCCTGGATATATGTGGAGTCGGCCTTATGGATTGCGTTTCTTTCCTGTGCTGAGCATTCATGGCTTCCATCATTTTCTTAAGCACTTTCATTTTCGATCTGTATCTGTTCTAGAGTCAGTAAGCATGGTTTTTATTGTGAACACCATCTCTGTAGTTAATTGAGAGATTAATTCTCATGTGATTTCTAGAGCCTCATTCGGTGAGACACTCTTTTATTTTTATTTATTTATTTAGTATTTTAGAGAAGCGTCTGCAGGGTGTTCAGGGTCTCACTACTGGATCAGACTCATAGTGATCTGCCTGTTTACAGCCTCCGAAGAGCTGGGATTACAGGCTGGTGCGCCACCACGCCCAGACTTAGAGCCTCATTCAGTGGCCTGTTGTGGCCATGTCAGAGAGGCCAAATGGGTGACTTTCAGATTGTCCCACCTCATTGCCCCCTGGGTTTGTCTTTGGTGAACTGATGCAAAGGCTGCATCTTGTTTGAGTGTCTTCTCATTTTCTTTTCTTTTTTAGTTTAATTTCTGGCTGATGTTTGTGAATTGCCTTTGGTACTTTGCTTTATTGCTAGCACTTAGAACAGGAAATGACTACTTCTCTGAGAGAGTTTCCAGGTGTGCTGGTCTTGGTTTCTGAGACTGCTGCAAGATCCTACCTGTTCAGTTCGTTTGGGAGAGAAGTTGCTGCCTGTTCAGCCCAGTCCCCGGTGCTTTGGCACTGTGCCCCAGTATTTTCTATTTCCTTTAGTCAATTTCGGTCTGAAGTACCAGAAAGAATGGCTGTTTAGAGCATTTTTGTCACTTTCGGCTAAAGTGAAACCATCAATAATGGCAGTAACATCAATCACAGCCTAGAAAATGACAAAGTAAGGTAACTATTAATTTACCACCTTTAATCATATGAACCAGATTTATAGTTATATAAAAGAATCTAAAATAGACCAGAAATTTATATGCAGTGCGTAAGTCCTTAATAATGTCAATTGTACCCTTGGTTTAAAATTTAAAAGGGGTTAGGAATAAAATGGAGAGGTAGAAGAGGAAGAGATTGGAAGTAAGGCTGGAAAGACAAAGGGGATGGAGCTGGCAGCTGCTGAGTTCTGAGCTCAGTTGGCCCCTTTCCAAAGTGCTTCCTGGCCATTTGCTCTCAGCAGTGTGGGACAGCTGAACCCTCAGCACTCACCCTCAGCTAGTCAGACCCTCACATCCACTGCTGCCTCTGTCCGTGGAGGCCTCCGGGGGCCACAGCAGCTGCCATGTCTCGCTCGGCAGGTCTGAACCAATCCTCTCACTCGCTCAGAGTCCCGTCTCAGGCAGAAGGTGCCACCAACTACCTTCTCCTCCTCCCTCATTCTCCCTTCCTCTTTTTGTGGGCTTCAGGCCTCAGGTCCTTCCTGGCCCAGGAGACCCATTTACCTCCTCCTGTCTTCCTCATGCTGCTGTATTCTAGTGTGGACGGCAGCACTCAGATAGGCTCTTCCTGTGTTGACCCCACTCTGCTATCTTGGCGCCCCTCCAGAGATTTTTTTTTTTTTTTTTTTAATGTATTTGGTTCTTCCAGGGTCTCACTACACAGCTCAGACTCATACTGATCATCCTGTTTTCAGCCTCCCCAGGGCTGGGATTACAGGCCTGTGCCAGCATGCCTGGTCTTGGTGGCCGGTTTAGCATGCCCCGGTACAGGGCTGGTGTTGCTTTTGGTGCCAGGGTTCAAACCACAGTCCCTGCACTTGCCTAAGCTCGCTTAAGCAGGCGCTCTAGTCCACTGAGCTATCTCACCAGCTCCTCCAGAGATATTTTTGGTGTAATTGTTTTTTTAATTTGTGTTTTGGGATTAAACAATGTCAGATGATAACAGTGAAGCTAAATTTGCAGCAATACATAAAGTAAGTTAGTAATAACTGAAAATTCTGACACCAGTACTACTGTACTAATGACCAGATTTCCTTTCTGGAGATTATGAGCTTGCCGCTGTTTGCCTTCACACATGGAGGGTCAGAGCCTTTCTTCAAAAGCTGGCATAACAAAGCAGCTACTCAGTAGACAAAAGAATTCCTGGTGGGAGCAGGATGTTACTGCACAGCACGGGTTTTTTTGTTTGTTTGTTTGTTTTTTTGTCTTTAGTACAGGGCCTATAGGGTCTCACTCTGTACATCAGACTTGTGGTGAGCCTCCTGTGTTCAGTCTCCCAAGAGCTGGGAGTATAGTCACGCACCACCACGCCCCATCTCACAACACAAATTTTTATTGGATTTAATATGTAGAATTTAGGGGCTGGGGAGGGAGATAGCTTAACTGACTAAGCGCCTGCCTGGCAAGTGCAAGGACCTGGGTTTGCTTCCTGCTACCACATGCTGTGCTACCCTGAAGCCACATGTGGTGGCACACACCTGTAATCCCAGCCTTGGGGAGGCTGAGACAGGAGGATTACAAATTCGAGGCTAGCCTGGGCAATTTGCAAGACTGTCTCAAAATAGGATAGGATAGGTTGATAAAATACAGAATAAAGGCTGGGGATGTCACTCAAAGGATGATAGACCACTTGTCTAGTATACACAAAGCCATAGGTTCAGTCTCTACTACTATAAAAAAACAATTACAACTTTTTTATGTTATTATGGGTAATTCTGGATATTTTATGTGAATAACCATTCTATTTAGCATCTAAAAAAGTTACTACTTAATAGTCACATTAAGCTTAATTAAAATGAGCCAATATATTTTCACCAGGACCTTAGCAGTCTGATCCTGTAACTTAAGGGAGACTTTCATTCTCCTATGGAGATAGCTCTGGCCACTGTGCACAAATTTACCACAGTGGTGATTTTATTTTATTTTTTTGTATTTTAGGGAAGGGTCTACAGGGTGTTCAGGGTCTCACTACTACATTGGACTTGTAGTGATCGGCCTGTTTATAGCCTCCCAAGAGCTGGGATTACAGGCATGTGCCATCATGCCCAGTCTCAATTGCTGTCTCAGCATGCCCCAGGGTTGGGGCTGGCACAGCTGGCCTGGAGATCAAACCCCTGGCCCCTACACCTGCTGTAATCCGCTGAGCTGTTTGGCTGGCTCTCACAGTGGTGATTTTTTTTTGGGGGGGGAGGAACTGAGGATTGAACTCAGACCCTTACACTTAGCAGGCAAGTGCTTATTCTACTGAGCCATTTCCCTGGCCCCTCCCAGTGGTGATTTTAAGCTATGCTTTAGGGCTTCTCCAGTGTACCTTAGGAATTGTTTATTGGGGGATACTAATTTTATGTGAAGAGTCTCATAGCGTGTTCAGCTTTTTCTTTCCTGATAGGAAAATCAGGGCCCATATAGTTATGTGTTTAGGGTCCTGTAGCAAGTTAGTATTAGGGCTGGGGTTAAAATCCAGAATGTCGAAGCTATGATCTCTCCATTGATTTGCTTTGGAGACATCATGTGGAAACAACTGTAGCCATCTTAGGATTTCTGTGACATAAAAGGATTTCTTTGAGAAGAGGTCAATGGTAGTTTAATTTTGTGCAATGCATGAAAGTATTGCTAACAAAGAACTGTAATATTTTCCTGTTGCATTGTTACCACTTACCTGGGTGAGAGAAGATGCACTTTGGAGATAGTAACTACTAGGGTATAGCAGCAGTGCTGAGAGCCTTGAAGCTTATAAAAGCAAAAAATTAAAAGTCACATGTACAGCTAGCACCGATAAGTATGCTGCTAGTGGACCGCCTTTCAACCAGTGTCTCCTTGTTTCTCTTTTGCCTATTTCAGGTTGTAGAACTCATGACAGGAGGAGCTCAAATCCCAGTCACCAATGCAAATAAAATCTTCTACTTAAACTTGTTGGCCCAGTACCGGCTGGCCAGTCAAGTAAAGGAGGAGGTGGAGCATTTCCTAAAAGGTAGGGTCCCGCCTCCTCTTCACCTAGAGGTTGACGTGGCTGTGTCTGTGGTATGAATGTGGCTTTAACTTTTCTGCCTTGTTTCAGGCTTGAATGAGTTGGTCCCTGAGAACCTTTTGGCTATTTTTGATGAGAATGAACTCGAGGTATGTTGAACTAGCTTGCTGTGCCTTCTGTTACGGAATACAGCAAGAAGGCCCTTTATGGAAGAGTTGTGGTTACTTTTGTCACACTTACATGTATTTGACCCTTTCTTTTAGCTTTTTAAAAAATTAGAATGTGAAAATCAGCAAGTGGTTATTTATGAAAAGTATTAATATTCATTTGTTCATCAAATATTGTTCTGTCAGGCATGGTGTGCATACCTGTAGTCCTAGAACTCAACAGTCAGGGTCCTGAGGCCAGTCTGGGCCACATAGTGAGTTCAAGGCCAATCTGAACTGCACAGCATGACACTGCCTCAAAAAAATTTAAAAAACAACAAAAGTACTATAGTAAAGAATATTGGTATCCTCCTTTTTTGGGGGGTGGGCGGCAGAACTGGGGATTGAACTCAGGCCCTTTCGCTTGCCAGGCAAACACTTATTCTAGTGAGCCATCTCCCTGGCCCTAGAATATTGGTATCATAATCAGTCTTCATAAAATTTATCCCATTTAAGGAAATAATAGTATGTATTTGTTCAGGTATTGAGTACTTCCTCTATGCCATGTATTTAGAGATTCCAGAATGATAGCAATTACTGAAACAAAGTCTCGGCGCTTGTGGCTGCTGTATTGTAGTAGAGGAAACAAGCCCAAAGATATGCTTGTGTTTCACGGTTTTGGATCACAACACTGCGTGCATTTTTATATACATGTAACAAATTCTTGTTTCAGATCCTCCAACAACTAAGAGTGGCTATAAGCAAATACTCTTCTTCCTCTTCTTCCTCTTC